ACAGGGTAGTTGACTCACGGGCATGTAACAACACCAAGCCAACAGAGCTCTTCACTTGTCTATTGTCTGAGCATATTATCAAAAGGAGCCAGTCATCGGAAAAGGACATCATGCTGAGAAAGGTAGAATAGAAGACCTTTAACAAAAGAAATTGACATAGTGACCGTAACAATGAGTTGAGCATGGTGGAGACTGAAGTTGGCGCAGGATAGGGCAAGGTTTTGTTTATGGGGTCCCTATGAATAGTAGTTGACTCGATTGCACCCAACAACAACATTGTTTGGATGAAAATTGAATCACAGAGATGAAGTTTGAAAGGTAGCTAGAGACCACAGTTGTTGAGGTCCCAAATTTCAAGAGTAAATAAACACAGAAAGGATCACACTGTTCCTATTCTTGTTCTCTCTGCATCTTTCGCTTCCCTTTTCCTCTGTGATTGGAGCTGGGTGCGGTGGGAATGGCGTAAGTGTTTGGACAAGCAACCACGCTATGAATCTTCACACTAACATATTACTTTTTAAAATTTTATTTTATTAATTTTAATGAATATTTACAGAGATTTTGGATTTCCATTCATTCATTGTTGCACTTTTCTCCCTACCTGCCCCCCAATTCCCTTTTCTTTTTGTAAAGCAAACTTTGTTACTAACACATTATTTTAAAACACAAATTCCTCCCAATAGAATTCAAGAGCTTTTCTCTTTTTTAGAAAAATATTTAAGTATAACTTTCATGTGGTAAGCATACAAGTCTTAGGGGAGGAACATTTACATGTGGGTAAACCCCAGCCACCACTACTTAAATCACTAAATAGCTCATTTCCAGGATCCACTTCCTAAATAACATGATTCCAGAAACCCTGTGAACTTTGATAAGTGTTGATAGTTGTAGAGGGGCTGTTGCTATGAGTTGTGCTTGACTTGAAGGCCATCAACAACAACCACCACCAGTATCCAAATTCTCATGCTTCCTTCCAGATGATAAAAAACAAAAAACAAAACAAAACCCTTTTTCATTTAATGTTTGGTTTGATTTCTTTTTTTTCTTGTGTCATTTTTGCACACAGTTTAATGAAACTATTCTAAAAGGTTCAGTAAAACAAACAAACAAAAATATCCCATGATTTCCACACACTCATTTTCTCTTAAGGGAACCATCTCCAGTTTTTTCACTGTTTCTGCATATTTCCAAGTAATACAACCATTTTGGTTTTTTTCTTTGATTTTTCTTTCAGCAAAGATTTCCTCCAATGGGAGATAAGGAAAGACTGAGAATTCGGGTTCCCTTTCCTCCCATCACCTTAATACCCCCTCCACTCTTCCACCCTGACCCCATTCATTCTTTACATTTATCATGATTTTGGTGAGATCCATGTTAAGCATTTACATTATTCTTAGCATGTAAATAAGATTCTGTTGAATCAAATGTTGTTGCTGTTAAGTGCTGTCGAGTCATAGGTGACTCATAGCGACCCTACGAACAAAAGTCCTCGACGGTTGCATGAATTTCATCCTTTCTCCAGGTTCGTAGGGTTTCCGGAGGCAAGCTATTTATGGAGGTGGATGCCACTGCTGCTTCCAAGCTTGTTTTAATCAGGGAGTGCCACCAAATACTGTCCGTCATGGGTAACCAGTAACACATTTGACATGTCAGTGTCACAGTGTTCAGCTTCACAGCAACCACAAGTTACCTCTGTACAGCAAGCAGATACACCAGGGCTATATGACCTAGAAGAATGTTTCACCAAAAACAATTAAAGACAGGCCTTAAGGCCG